ACATGTATATATAGTTTGCCATTAAATGGATTCCAATTTAGTCACCTATAAGATAGAGTTGTTGTTTTTCAGTGGCCTCAAATTGGTTCTGACTCATAGCAACGCTGTATAGGGTTTCCAACGAGTACTGATTGGTTTGAACTTTCATCCTTGAAGTTGGCAGTCTAGTGCTACACCAGGACTCTAGAAGAGAGAGTCAAATGGTCTTATAGGGTTTCCTAGGCCATAATCTTTGTAGGATCAGATAGCCAGATAGCACTGAACAACAGTAACAAGCCAGAGGTCCCTTAGAAGAAATACTTGGCAATCTAATTCTGAAATATCTGAAGCTCAATGTTGCTCTGCTCATGTAGAGTCACCTTGAGGAGCCAATTCAATTCAATCTAGATTGAGATATAGATCTACATCTTCCCAGAGTGTGGTACTTGAAGATAGTCAGTGTAAATTGGACATCTGACCACAAAATAAGGAGTTAAGTATTGGGCTGCTAACTAAAAGACTGGTGGTTTGAACCCACCACCTGGGAGAAAGATAATGTAGTCTGCTTTTATAAAGATTTACAGCTTCTGAAACTCTATGGAGCAGTTCTACACTGTCCTGTAGGGCCGCCACGAGTCAAAACGGACTCAAGTGCAGTAGGTTCTTAAACCAGACCCTGAAATGCCATATTGCTGTGCTCCAAAACGAAATGGGCCTCTGCAGAGAGCTGTGTAAGGCTGTTTATTTCCTACCGATCAATAGGGAATATTTTGAAGTCCATCTAAAAGCATTAGGGAGCAAAATGTAAAATCTCCTGGAAACAAGCTTTCTATCTATAGATGATATTCCCTAGAGAAACCAATAGGATATTAGATCTGTTCTTGCTATATCCTATATCCCAAAGACCCTCCTAGATGTTTACCTGTTTGTTCCTTATGATAAATGCTCTACAAGGACCCCCCCTTTTCTCCCTCCTGAAAAATCTCTCTCCCTTCCCCCTTTGTCTCTTCTTCCCCTCTCTTTTACTTCCTATGAAATAAGGTTTCATAGATCCATAAAATTAAAGCCAGAAGGAAATCTGCGAGTTCATTTAGTTGCAAACATTAATTGCTGGAGGGGATAATAGAGTCATGTGGTTTGTTTAAGGTCTCCTTGATTGTTGAGGGCAAGTTGGAACTTGCAGTTTTCCATTTGCAGGGCATTCTTTGCCCTTTGAGAGGTCTGCTTTTGGAGAGGTTTCAGAGCTGGTCCCATTTGATGTTCCTGAGTAGTAGGTTTCTAGTCATTTCCTTCTCCTCAAGGCTGTCCTCATCCTTTCTAGGTCAATCCCTTGGCCAAAACCCCACCAACCCTTTGGCACATCATAATCTGCACTGATGTATACGAAGTTAAATTGCCTTGTCACAGTTCTTCTATTTCTGTGTTAGTTTTCTGCTACTGCTGTAACTCCAGAAGTGTGTGACTTGAAAGAACAGAATTTTATTTGCTTACATTTCAGGAGTCTACAAGTCCAAATTCAAGGCTTTGAGTATGGGGAAAACTTCTCTCTGTCAGCTCTGGGAGAAGATCATTGATCCTGATATTCCTCAATTCCTTGGTGATCCTCACATGGCATATATCTTCTCCTCTTTGTGTTTACTTTTGTGTCTAATCTGCTCTTTTGATGTCTCTGAAGTGATTAGGTTTGGATATATTCTATAATGATATGGTATTATTAACATACCAAAGAAAACTCCATTCCCAAGCAGGATTTCATCCCCAGGTATAAGGGTCAAGATTCCAGCATATATTTTGGAGGACCACAAAAAAGTGGTATGGATTCATACCAATCTCTTAACACTTTGTCCCATGATGTGTTTTCTTCCATCTATGTGTTTTGTCCACAAGATCAGCAGTTTGAATCTACCAGTCATCCCATGGAAGAAAGATGAGGCTTTCTTCTCCTATAAAGATATACAGCCTTGGAAATGCTATCCAGGCTCTCTATGAGTTAGAACCAACTTGGTGGCACACTGCCTCCTGTTATGCCCATCCCACTTAAACGGCTACACAATTATCCCTTTTCTACGCTACAAAATTTCACACAATGTTTTTAAATTTAAATTTTTTAGAGTCAGCTGTGCTTTCTTATACTTTTAAAATTCACACATTTCTAAAATTTCCTGGAATTAATTCATTTATTTGATTGATTTTTGGAAATCAGAGCAACTGTGCCTACGGCTAAAGTTACTCCAGAGCTTCAGGCGGAAGCTTTAGAAAGCCATCACAGAAAATGATAACACACTGCTTCAGTGAGGAACATACCGCCAGGATCTCAGCCTAGTAAAGAAATATGTAACCATCAATTGCTTATATGCTCAACGCATTCCGCAGCAACTTTGATGCTCTTTATTGTTAGAACTATAACTAATTTAGTATTTCTGTGAGGAAAATCCTAAAAGAATTGCTATTCTGTCTGCCCACCAGAGGAATTCCAGCCTGCTAAGATGGGACTTATGTCTTTCTTAGAGGGAACAATGACTATATTCAGAAGAGTGGGGCCAGTCTTCAGGATCCAGATGTTACCAGTGAAGGGCAGTGGGGGAAGGAAATGAACTCATCTTGAGACAAGAGAGCCTGGTCACATTAACTCTGCAGAGACAAATAGTTCAGAGTATAACATTGCAAAGTCTCACTTATAGTCTATCTCTTCTGACTTTACCCAAGGAAACTTGCTTCCTAAAGAGAGGAGAGCTTGATTTTATTTCTTAATTTTATGTCGTATTTTACCGTATCATGGAGCTTAACTATGCTTATTTACTTATTGAGATTTATTTACTGTTTTCTGTGTAACAGTCACTGTGCTAGACTTGGATCAGTAGTGGAGAATAAGAAACCTGGGTCCTGCTCTAATGGTTCTTCTGCCTAATGCAGTGTTTCTCCAACTACAGCCCACGGTTTCCTGCTTCTAAATCTCTGAGGTGCTCAGAGCGCACTGCAGACTTTCAGGGTCAGAATCTTCAAAGGGTGTGCTGTAGAGTTG